GAACCTTTTCTAATGTCCTCACCTGACTGACAGTAGCTTGAATCCACTTCACCACTTCAGTTCTGATACAGGACATATTATTTTTGGAATTTCGTGAGTGAAAAAAGTCTATTGCCTGTCTAAACTCAGAAGAGTCAGACTTTGTATAATTAAAAAAAGGCAAAAGTTCCTAAGAGGCCAAACAAAAGTCAACTCAAAATTGGCCAAACATCAGACCGATTAGTTCTTCTCCGCTTTTGTAATGTGTGTTTGTGTACAAGAATGACTATGAAATTAAATTGTCTTATTTCTAGCCATTTTCTCCCATAAACAATAATAGTCACTGCTGAAAGGGTTCCTCGAACACTTACCAGGAAAATTTTTGAATATTCTAGTCTTCAGAATAAACGATAGCTGTCAAATTCTTACTGCATAATCTAAAATGTTAATCCATGTACTGTATTTCATTTGTAATAAGTCTTTGTGATAAGGTTAACACTTCAACACATAACACAAATAAGAGAGCACCAAAAAATGAAAATCACTTTGCTTATGTTTCCGTATTAGAATTTTATTTGCTAAAGGGTAAAAACAGATTTGCAAAATTCACAGTTAACTTAAAACAATAGTTTTAAACCTTTTATTCCTAGCCCTTATTGCCTTCAGGAAGGAGAGAACATCTGGTTATTTAAGGAACACAATATGTTCACATTTTCTATGACTTTTGTTTCTAATTGGGTTTTAAAATTTTTTTTTTTTTGAATTTGAACAACTAGTCAGAACAATGTTTTTTAATCACTTCCTATTTTTCAGACTGCCCTCCTTCTATTTCTCTACTTTGTTCAGTGGATTGTTTTTTTGGAAATCTGCTCAGTACTTCTAACGTGAAAGAAACAGGAAAATGAGAATAGGGATTGTGGGCTGAGGGGTGAAGTACTGGAGCCATGTTGGTGGAGATCAGAACTACAGACATTTGTCAGCTAGTATCTTCAGACAGCGCGCATTTAAAGAAATTTCAAACTGTTCTTAAGTTGCCATGTCAATCCGTGGCAATTTCATTGATTATAGATGCAAATGAACGCTTCACCTAAAGAGAAGAATTTCTGTAAGAGCCACTGGGAACTAGCATTTCAATAATTTTTAAAATAAATGAATGGATGGCTCTTGTGTGGAAGGTTGGTTGGGAGACCTGCGACGAGCCTTGTGTCCTGAGAAAGTCTTTGAACTTCACCAGCTGGCAGCTTGTCCCTGGACCCGAGGAAGCAATGGACACCACTAGCCCTACCCAGTGCTTTGAGTTCACAGTCTCAGTGAAATGGGTGAACAAAATTTTGCTGTTGCCAAAATATTTGGAGGAGGCAAAGAAGTTTCAATACCATCTGATAAATGTATAACAATTTAAAACCTGGTTTTTAGATTATTTGGACCTGGACCCCATGGAAAGGCTAGATGCGCCCTGAGTTGTCTGTTCAATCATCCAACTTGACCCTCTGGCTGAAAATGGGAGCTGACAAATGTCCAGCTGGCTCTGGCTCCTGTGGAATGTGGATACAGGTCACAGAAGTTAGTGTAGGTGAGTGAGGTCCCCCTAGATTAGAGTCAATAGTATTTACTGGATAAGGCTTGCTAGAATTTGAGTCCAAGTCTGGTTCTACCATTATTTTTCTTTCTTTATACTAACACCCAGTGGAAAGCCAAGCAATGACAGGATCTTAAGGAGGGATTAGTGATGAACAGATCAGCAAAGGGTTGAAATACAAAGTACTGTGAGTACTCAGGATGGAAACCTGTTCTTCCTGGGCCAGGAAATGGCTACCAGGTGAGAGATGAAGCCAGGGACCAGAGGGCATGAGCAGATGCAAGGAACCATGGCATCATTCTAGCTAGCTTAGATGCTTATGAACCTTTTGGCCTTGGAAAAGTCACATAACCTTGACTTCTTGACATTGGACAAATGAGGAAAAAAAATCACCTGTTCTGTCTGTCTTTTTGCTAGTGCGGGGAACCAAATGAAGCCCATCAAAGTGCTTGAAAACTATGATGGGGTGTTTGATCCCATTATTCTTTGATCCTATTACTAATTCATTGACCCATTATTTAAGTCTGTTCACACGAGAAATCTTGTGGCAGTAAAACCCGCACCTGATTAGGAACAATTAAGAGATCAAGTTCTCCAGCACAGTCCATTTCCAGCTGAGCAATCTCTGTGGGCTTTCGCGGAAGCAGTAGGAAAAAGTGCTTTTTTTTGGTTTTTGAAGGCTGACAATGAACCGGGAGCTTGGAGCTCGCATTTATTTTTATTTTAGTGAGTCTCAGCAGCACTCAACACCGCTGCCTAGGAAGCTGAGATATGGGCAAGTGTACTTTCACACTTCAAATATCATTTTTCTGCTACTTCACTTCACAGAGACTTGTGTGTTTACTTACTCTAATCTACTTAAGTATTTGAGTGTTATATTGTTGCTAATAGGCAACACTTAAAGCACTGTGATGTCTGGCTTTTTAGAGCCTATGGGTGAGATACTACAACCATTCTTCTTTTATTCCTCCTCAGTAGAGATGTTTTCCTCTAAGACTTTATAATTGACATTGTCTAACTGCACATTCAGTTCGCATGAGGATTCCTACTATATATATTATACATACATATAATATGTGTATATTATTTATCTATCTATATATATATAACTGTGTTTCTTTTCTTTTTTTAACTCATGCCTTTGTAGCACTGGGCTGGATGGATGGGAATCTTACTAGAAGCCATTTTTTTTTTTATGGACAAAAGATGTTCTAGCTGACTGAGTCATGAGAGACCATCTAATTCAACTACAGCAGACACATGTTGCCTCAAATCACACGGAGGTTGGTAGCAGAGTTGAGTTTTGATCTGGGACCCCAATTCCTAACTCAGGCTCTTCCTTGGTTTGACTGGAACCTATAGGACAGCCCTATAATTAACAATGTGCCAAATGGCATTTACTAAATAATGTCAATGAATCAGACATCCTATATACTTAACTGAAACTATCACCTTGCTGGGTTACTTAGCTTGAAGGCCCCTTCCTCTTATACAACTGCCTTTGATGTTCTTACAAAATGTCATTATTTGATACACTTATGCTAAAGAGCCCTTTAAACACAACTCCCCTTCTCCTGCCCAATTACTTCTATTCAGAAACAAGAGATGGTTGTACAGTCCTATAAGCTGACCCACTATCTTGATAATGTTTTTCCTTGGTAAGATCCTGAATATAAAAGTGGAAATTTAAAAAAGTACTTGAACTATTATTTTTTCCTCTGATACTTTAGAGATGTACTTTTACTGCTTGTAGAACTGGCAGCATTATCTTGTTACATATACTACCTTACTAAGATTTGGTATATGAGATACTACAATGCTATATTAAAATATGATTCTACTTAACAACATCAGAAGATTTAGTATACAGAATTTTGCAACAGAAGGAATGGATGTGTCATTTAGTGTGGGAAAATTCACCAAGATCAATAGGTTTAATAATATATTCATCATCCCTTCTATTCACTCAAACAAAACACACAAGCAGAGAATTCAAATAGATATTTTAACCACAAAGAATTTTTTTTAACCTCTATGTAACTTTAAGTTTCTCTGATAGAACCTACCTCATGTTGGCAGATACAAACTGAAACACCTCATGACCATACCATACTCTTTATTCCTTTGATATATGTTCAATAATCTTGGCTATTTTATGATATATCTATATCTATCTCTCTCTCTCTCTCTCTCTATATATATATATATATCTGCAACGCAGGGATCATTCCTGGTGGGCCTTGGGGAACCATACAGGGTGCTGGATCAAACCCAGGCCAACTGCACGCAGGACATTCACCTTATCTGCTGATCTGCTGTATCATACTTCCAGCCCATGACAAGTATACACTTTTAAAACAAACATATAGCTAAACCAAAAAATAAAACATGGAAGTTCTGATTTTCATTATCAGATTCCTAAGCCTTACTAGGAAAAGAGAATTATTTTTAATCAAATAGATGATGGATTATATTTATGCATTTAAAAAATCAAATTGCTTTGTGGAAGAGAACTGATACACAATTGTGTACATAGAAGACAAGTTCTTTCCAAAGTCAACCAGATAATAAATAGAAGATAACAACAGAGGAAAGGGCAGAAATTATTGAGAAGGAAAAACTGACATTGAACTTGTATGCCCAATTCATCAGACAGAGCTTTGGCAATGGAATCCACAGACAGACTGACTCAAAGACAGTTCGACAACTGCCAACGCGACTCTTGGGAGTTCTGCCAAAGAGCCAAAGGCTGGGATTACCACCCAATGCCTGGCATTCTCCAACTTGTGTTTGAAGCTTTCTCTCTTCGATTTCATCCAATATTTTTGTTTGGCTCAAAAGTATCAAGGATTCACAGATTTTTTTAGATCATTAAATGTTCTTATTTTCAAGAAATATACCATTAGTTGTAAAAGAGCACACTTTCTTAGGTGTAAAGACAATTTTGGTGAACTGCTTGAAGTTCAAGTAGAGGCAGCAGCACTGAAGTGTGTTGTTTCAATTTTCATCTAAATAGAATTTATTAGGCTACTTGTCATCAGCAGAGGAAGAAAGATGTTGAGAATCATACACTCTTAAAAAGACAGGCCCTTTGATAACTCTCTCTGGAGTGGCCTAGGGCCTCAGAGGCTCTGGTTCTTCTGAAGGGAGCAACAAGAAGGAAGTTGCTCAACTCTTCCCTTGAGTTTTGAGAAAATCAGGAGGGTAGAATCACCATCTGACGGAAAGGGCTACCTTCCAGCTTCTCATGACAGTGTCTACTGCAGCCTGCTGAGCTGCTGGCCAACAGGTGAGTTCTGGCCGACACCTCTAGGTACAGCTCCTTCATCAGGCCATTCATTTGCGACTAGACAAATGTCACATTTGGAATGCTTGGAATTAGCCAGAGGAACCAATTTGTTACCCAGCTAAATACTGCATCTATTCTACTTCGAAAGCTTACCTTGGGGTCACGCAGGAAGAGAGCCTTCAGAATCAGTGAATGCACATCTCCGATGACTGGGTAATGCATCAGAAGGCCAAGACAGGTCTGGTAGTTACTAGAGATCACTAAAGGAGAGGGGAAACATAATTCAGAAGCAACGTTGTATTTAAGGTTTCTGAATTACTGGGAGCAACAATTTAAAAAAAATTATGATTTGAAGAAATAACACTCAGTTGATTTAATAAAAGGCAACAGAGAGAAGGGATCTTCACTAACCAAATGGCCTTTGAAACAGCACACTGTACTGTTAACGACAATCTAATGCAGCAGCACTTATCCTCGGGGTGTTGGAAGGAACTGCCTCAGATGTAGATGTATGTGTGTGTTTGCAACATAAACGCTTAGAAGCATGCATATGTACTGCCATGTATGTGCCTGTGTTCAACTGTCTCTAGTTTTGCAGCTTAAAAGTTGGTGATAGAAATCTTTTGAATGGGACAGAATCAGCTTAATAGTCATATAAAATAATATCCTGATTATTATGCTTTATAACTTACATATTCTTTTCTGTGTTATCGGAGTCAAAATGAAAATAAAGTATCTGTTCTGATTACTTGTTTTTCTAATGGCAACACAAAATTTGAGGAGAACATTTATGTAGCATTTTTTAGAAAAAAATGTCTTGAATCTTCAGAGATAACCTGAACTGTGTTCCTTAGACTGCCATTTCATTTTTTTTTCAAACCAAACTAATTATGGGTGCGAATATTGAACACATCTTTTCAGGCAGGTCTATGTAAACTACTTCATTTCATGGCAATCCGTCTGCCTCTGGTGTCACACTTAGGCCCATTAATAAACACTAGTTTTATTTTTTTGGTAAGCCACACTGACGGTCTCCTTATCAAAGGCTGTGAAGAAGGGCTGAAGTGATAGTACAATGGGTAGGTTTGCATTGCACACAGCTGACCTGGGTTCAGTCTCTGACATCCCATATGGTGCCCCAAGCACCACCAGGAGGAATGAGGGCAAAACCAAGAGTAAACCCTGAGCACGGCTGGGTATGATCCAACCCTCCAAAAAAGGTTGTGAAGAAACATTACAGTAACAATTGCCTGTGCTTGCAAAGGACTCAGATCCATTCATCAGAAGAGTTGGTTGAAAATTACTGCATAGAAAAAAACACAATTTTTTTTTAACAGAAACAGTACAAGTCACAAACAATTGTTTTGGGCACAAACATACTCTTGATTCTTTGAACTTTGCCCCCTTTCTTCTGCTAGAAACACCATTTCTTTGATTTTTTCCCTCCCCTTCTGTTGGAAACACCATGTCTCACACAGCTTCCCACCCCTCCTTCTTCCTATGAACATTATGGTGAAAGAAGACAGGACTGGGCAAAATGAATAATTATAATCTATGTAAGGAACCACTTTATCATCTTCATTTCCGTTGCTGATCTGACAGCTTGTAATTTCATACATCTGCTTTCATTTGTAAAGCACTCACTTATCCAACCCTTTCTCTATCTGTTCAGATGCTTCTTATTCGTTCTTTCTGTCATATTCATATTCAGTTACCTGTTGTTCTTCCATCCTCCCCTCAGAATTCCAGATAGTAAGAGTAGTAAAGTGTTTTCATATGCCATTTTCCTTGAAATCAAATAAATCAACTTAATCAATTCATCTTATTATTGCATAAAGTTATTTTCCGGAGTGCTACAATAATTATATATTAGTATCTGACCCTGGAAATATTCTTGCATATTTGCTAAGGGAGTCAAAAAGACTTTTGTAGAAATAATCCTGGGCCTGGTATTCAAACAAATTGCTTTGAATCTTGGGACTCCTCCTGAATCTTTCTTATCTATATGACTGACTTGTAGCAGTTGCTGAAAACCTGTTATGGGCGATCTCTCTGAACTTAAATTTAGTCATTTGGAAAATAGCCTTGGATAAGAAACAAAAACCTTGCCTCGTTCATTCATTCTTTTAATTATTAGTGATCTACCTAACCCGTGGGTTGATGTTAGGAGGGGATACCAGAGAGCAATGAAATGCAGAAAATCAATGTAGTGAATGGCAGATACGCATGGTGATGGCCACTTTCTGACGCAGCCAGGTACTGTATTTGGAACCTGATTTGCATTTTCAGTTAATTTCCATGACAATTTTATAAATGTGCAGTTGTTATCCCTGTTTTTCAGATAAGGAAATGGTTATTTGGAAAGGATTAGTCACTTGCCCAAATTACACCCTGGCTTGGAGGTAGCGCAGGTCTGAATGGCTAGGTGTAGGTTTATGCTCCAATATGTGTCTTTGAAAATCAAATGAGGTCATAAGGCACATAATCAGTGAATTACTATTATTACTCTTGTATTGTATTTGAGATGCCAAAAACAGTAACAACAAGTCTCACAATGGAGACTTTACTGGGCCCGCTCGAGCAAATCGATGAACAAGGGGAGGACAGTGACAGTGACTCTTTGTATAGAGCTCGGTCTGATTCCTCTGCCCCTCTCGGAGAGTCTGGCAAGCTACCGAGAGTATCTCGCCTGCACGGCAAAGCCTGGCAAGCTACCCGTGATGTATTCGATATGCCAAACACAGTAACAACAAGTCTCACAATGGAGATGTTACTGGGCCCGCTCGAGCAAATCGATGAACAACGGGAGGGCATTCATTCATTAATTCAACATGACACCCTCAAGTTCCATACAAGTTGTAGCAAAATACAAGATTTCATCTTTACTTCTAGCTGGTGAGCAGAATGGTATAGAGACCACAACAAATGCTCAGGGCTTATTCCTGGCTCTGGCCTCAGGGATCACTCCTGGCAGGGTTTGGTGAGGCACAGTTGGCAAGTGCCATACCCACTGCCTTCTTTCTCCAGCCCAAATAATAAGTCTATAGCCATTCATTTATCAGTGGACACTTAGCTTGTTTCCAGATTATACAACTTCAATATCTCTAAACACGTTACTCAAGTTATTTCATTGCACATTTCTCAAGGTAACTAAATGGACTGCTAGCAATTACCATAGGATGCAAAATTAAATATGGAGTTACTTTAATTTCTTTTACGTTAAAAAAATGGATCACTTATTAGGGTTGGAGATACGATACGGTAGATAAGGCATCTGCCCTGCATGCAGTCCAAGTTTGATCCCCTGCACTCTCCACATGTGGCCCCTTGAACACTGTCAAGAATGATCCCTGAGCACAGTGCCAGGAGTAAGCTGTAAGCATGGCTGGGCATGGTATTCCCTTACCCTTAAGTCATCAGCATTTGAATCCAGTCATGGAGAGTATTTGGAAATAAGCACAGAATTTTAAAACTAGCTGTATAATGCAATATAAAACAAATAGTTATGGGTAAGCATGAAACAAAAATAATTAACTAACCAAATGGGAAATCTGAGATATTTAACTCAATTATTGTACTCCTCCACTAAAAAAAGGTTTAACCTATATGGAGGGAGTTTGCAAGGTACTTGGCATGAAGGCACTTATGCCCTGAAAACATATTCACTGAGGGTCTATTACATGCAGGGAGGAAAAAAATATACATTATTATTACAGGTGGTATCTTTGACTATTTGGAAATCCTTATAATAGCAACTGTCTCAGTTATTAAATGACACATACAAAAAGGAGAATAAGACAGAAGCAGAAAACAAAGGGCCAGGGAAAAGGAGCAAATAATAAGTCAAACCAACAAAACTCCTATTCTTTGCAGACTTGAAGAAAGCCAAGTATTAAACAGGGAAATTTTCTTCTCCATACAAAGTGGTTATAGATTCGAGTTTAAGACCCTCATCAAATGTCCTGGTTTTTCTCCCCGGTTGCCACTGTGACAATTGCCTCTCTGACTGCCATCAATCACTGTGACAACCATCCTCAAAACACAATACAGACACACACTCTTTCGTCAACAAAGGAATGCTCCTTGTCGCTCTGAGATTCTGTATAGAAAACTTTGAGCCCTTCAAATCTGAGTTCAGGGTAGAAGAAATCTCCAACTTAAGAGCAGCCCATTCTTTTTTTTTTTTTTTTTGAGGAGGGGAGGGTGACAAAAAGATTTTGAAGACTGCTATCCTTACTGCTTTTCAAGCTTATCAGTTTATTTTGAGATCAAACAAAAAAGGAGCTATCCTTCTTCAAGATTTTATAGTGTTTGTCAGTGTTGCCAGCAGGAAGACAGTGAAAATTACTAAGTACTCCAGTACAAAATTGCTGGTGTCTGGGCCCCAGTGATAGTGGAAGGGTCAAGGCACTTGCTCACCACAAACCTGGGTTTCACACCTGGCACTTCCCATGGTTTCCTGAGCACAGAGACAGGAGTACCACTGGGTGTGATCAACAGACAGAACGTCTGGGGACACAAGTGTGGGTGCCAGAGACAGAACATCGAAGGGGAAAAGACAGAAGATGAGCTGCGTGCCCCAGGGTGTCACCCCCTGAGCTGTGGCCAGCCTTGGGAGTGATTCAGTAATTGTCCATTCCCCTTCTCTAGGACATTACCTAGCAGGGAATAAATGAGATGATTCCTTGCAAAGCCTTCCCGCCATTTAATCTCAGCTATTACCATTAATACAAGTGATTATTGGGATGACCTCAGAGCCCGGGCACATCAGTAAAATGTCAAGGGAATGAAATCTGAAAAAAAAAATTGGGTGGGAATTAAGATTTTGAAAAGCCTGACCTATTCTTCTGCCTCTCCGCTTTAATCCAAACAAGAAAAGGAAAAAAAAAAAAACCAAAACTGTAGGCCAGGTTACTGATTTATCTGTATGCCAGTTAGCTAATCTGAATACAGCTGGATTTTGAATCTGAATGAACTTAGTGAGTTTGAATGGCTTCTTCACATGGGATTTGCAATGGTAGAAGGAGGAAGTGCGGGTAATATCCTGTTCTCTTTAGGCTGTAGACTCACCTAGATGTGCTTATTACACGCCTGTTTCTGTGCCTCGACAAGTTCCATCCTCAGTCCCCGATGGGGAATAAGAGGCCCTCTGAATGTTCTCTTCACATTCCAGTGGAAGAGAGGCATCAACTGAGTGTCACACAGGGCAGACTGACTGCAGTGGGTGACAAAGATAGAATGGGAGGGAGGCTGCGAGTTA